TTTTTTTTTTTTTTTAAATAATTGTTCAGGGACATATTATCGCATGCCATGATTTGGCATAATACCTTGAGTTCAAGATCCTATTTCATTTGTCCAGACTCTGAACTTTCAATTCGATAGGCAGATGGATAATTAGGACACAAGATTGTTTCTTTGTGTGCGGTCACAAGACTAAATTCCAAGTGACCCTCAGCTTTCATTATGTGATGAAAATGACTGGAGAGTTCATTTAGATTGTGGTTTATGTTGGTAATTTTTAACTTCTCTGGTTTATAGTAGTCCTTGTGGTATAAATTATCTCTACCCCACTGGCTCAGCTCTGTAGCCCCCGTGACTGGCATAGTATCTGTAACGGGAAAGATACAGACGTTACTGGGTGAATGCATGAAATGACCCCTCACACCATATTTGAAATGTTAAGATAGACACACACACACCCCCAACTCCCAGATTTAGTTGCAAAAGGAAGACCTTTTTGTACCCGCCATCTCTGCTCATTCTCAGAGCCACACTTCTCAAGAGTATTTTATCAGAGTGTGAGTAGAAATGTACTGTTCTGCCTTGGGCGTATTTGGGGGTAGCCTAAGAACCCAGCCTTCTGCAGCCATTTACTGTACTGAGCTGCTTATTGAAAAGTTGGCATGCAGGTCCACCCAGAGAGCCCATAGAAGGAAGACTTGGCAAGAATCCATTACTGAGAATTCTGTGGGGCACAGGTCTGCTGTGACTCATGACAGCATGAGTCCAAATTGACATGGTAGCATCAGATTTTTATTAGAGCAGCTAGCTTCTGCAAACACCTCTCCCTCTTCCAATCATTGTACAAACTTTTTTTGTTGTTGTTTAGCAATTGTATATGTGTAAAAATGGCCCAATTTGACTTGAAAGTAGGGGAGTCGGGTGTAAATTTTAAACTTTTTGTCTGTCCCAGCATATATTTGTTAAGAGCAAGGGATGCCTGACTAGGTGCCTGACCATTTCCTATCGCTCCTGAGTTGGTAGGTGATTTCTGAGAGCATGTGAATGGCTTCTGGGTGCCAGGCCTG